ACCTTTTGAGCCCTTCATGTTCAGCCTCTGTGGTACCCTCGGCGGTCTCTCTTGAGTATGAGAGTACGGCAGCCGAGGATTGTACCGAGGTTGATATGGAGGAGGATGAAGGGAGGGAGGAGTCGGAGGTTGGAGTCCCGTCCTCCTTTGAGTCGTCCCTGCGGCAGGTTCGCGAGTTTCGTCTCCCCGGGGAGGCTTTTGCGCCCAGTTGGGTCGCCGAGGTTCATCTCTGCATTTTGCCATCACTGGTGAGTGAGGTGGTCAATCCTCTCCTTACTGGTGCCCGTACGCGGTTTGATTTACCCGACGTCGGCAAAAGGTACCAGTTGGGAGAGGATGCACTATTCGAGCCGCCAGTGGTGGACGAATGTGTTTTCGCTTCCGTTACTCTAGGGGGGTCGACCACGTCTTCCCTGGCCTCTGCCAGGCAGGGCAGGCGGCTCCCCCCTTTTCCTAACAATGCGCCTATGCTGAGGTCTGCGTACCGGTCCTTTAAAGAGTGTTACCTTACACAATGGGGTCCTCCCTGTTCCCTGGGGCATTGCAGGTTGTACGGGAGGCCGCGGAGGCCGTGTCTACCTTCAAAGACTCTAAGCCTTTGTTGGAACAGCCCTCCATTCCTCGCCAACGGCCTTCCCCTCTTACTGCCGCATATCCTTCTGCCGTGGCAAAGGAGCCTGCAAAGTGGATTGCCCCTTTGCAGGCCAAGCGGAGTAAGAGAGCAAGAGGCAAGGGCAGCCCTGCTCAGTCGCAGCAGCCTTTTCGGGGCAGGGGGAAGCCAGCCCCGGCTTCCTGCTGATTCTTCCCCCAGAGCCCTTATTGCCCCCCACACACACACAAGCGGAGACTTGCCGACTGTGGGGGTGCATTGTCTCATGCCAAACGTCCCTGTCAGCGGCCAGTTGTCCCTATTCCTTCGGGAGTGGGAGAGGCAGCCACCGCAAATCCCTGGGTCCTGTCCACGCTCAGGGATGGCGATTTGCCACAGTGGAGGTGAGATCCACCGTCCTTCTCCGGGGTTCGGCACACTCCCGTGCCGAATTCCTGGGTGAAGGTGGACATACTCCGTGCCGAGGTTCAGTCCTTACTGGACAAGGCAGCCATCGAGGTGGTTCCTGTAGGTCAGCAAGGAGAGGGGTTTTATTCCACTTACTTCCTACTGACCAAGAAGGACGGAGGGTTCAGACCCATTCTGAATCTCAGAGGGCTGAACAAGTTACTAGAGGTGCTGTCTTTCAGGATGGAGACACTCAGGTCAGTGATCTCCTCCATGGAGACAGGGGATTGGCTTACGTCAATCATTCTCAAAGACGCATACCTCCATGTTCCAATGCACCCCGAGTTCAAGAAGTACCTCCGGTTCCCCTTCGAAGGGACGTGCTACCAGTTTCGTGTGCTCCCCTTCGGCATCTCTACAGCGCCAAGGTTGTTCACCAAACTTATGCTAATCCCAGCTCAGTTAACCAGGTGTCAGGGCAGGTGTTGTTACCCGTACCTGGACGATTGGCTTCTCAGGGCGTTAGGTCCTCAGTTAAGCAGAGCTTCCACACTGTGTGTGATGGATACTCTGGTGTCACTGGGCTGGATTATCAACCTCAAGAAATCAGACCTCGTTCCGACGCAGGATCTGGTATTCTTGGGGGCAAGATTCAACACGGAGCTGGGGATTGTTTCCCTCGCTCCGGACCGTATCGTCAAAGTCCAGAGGACTGTGTTACAGTTTCTCCAGTCCTATGCGTTGGCCCGAACATGGCTTCGGTTGCTAGGCAACATGGCGGGGACAGTGGATGTGGTTTGGCGTACGCGTCTGAGGATGAGACCCGTTCAGCAAGCGTTAGGGCAGCTGTTGTCCCACTCGCAGAGCTACGAGACTATTCTCGCGACGCCTGAGTGGTTAATTCCTCACTTGCGGTGGTGGATGGACGTCGGGAATTTGTCCAGGGGGATCCCCCTAGACACCCCGACACCTTCCCTCTCAGTTCAGACGGACGCCTCCCTCACAGGATGGGGGGGGGTGGGGTGTGGTGTGTGTGTGTGTGTGTCCTGGGCGAACACTCAGTCTCAGGCCTCTGGTCGGAGTGGGAAGTCAGCCTGCACATCAATGTGTTAGAACTGAGAGCAGTCCGCCGGGTGTTCGAGAGCTTTCGGGTGTTTGTTCAGGGCCGTGTGGTTCGTCTAGAGATGGACAATCAAACGGCCATGTCTTACATCCTCAAGCAAGGCGGCACAGTGTCTCCGTCACTCCTTCAGGAGGCGTGGCAGTTTCTACTCTGGTGCGATCAGTTCAACATTCAGGTTTTGCCTGTTTATCTCCTGGGGGTAGACAACGTACGTGCGGATGCTCTCTCACGGCGTATACTAGCCCTGCACGAGTGGCTGCTCGACCAGGAGATATTCGGGATTATCTCCCAGTTGTTCAGGTCGTTCCAGGTGGATCTGTTTGCGTCTGGGGTGACGAACCAGATTCCTGTGTTTTGCTCTCAGATTCCGGATCCGCGGGCGCTAGCCAACGACGCCTTTCAGCTAGATTGGACGGACAGGGTACTGTGGGCGTTCCCCCCGATACCACTGATCCCCAGGGTCCTGTCTCAGCTGAACGCACAACCAACTCGGCTACTTGTGCTTCTTGCACCCCTTTGGTCGGCGCAAAGTTGGTTTCTGGTAATTCTCAGGTTTCTGGCTCAGCCTCCTGTTCTATTAGTAACTATTACCTTTTCGACCGGACCTCCTATCCCAGAATGGAGCGCCCCACCCGAATCCCAGGATTCAGTAGGTGGCTTGGTCGCTGTCCGGGATCGCCTCCGAGCGAGCGGAATTCCTGCACCAGTTGCAGACACAATTCTGGCTTCGCGGAGGGATTCGACAAACGTTCAATATGAGGATAGATGGGCCTGTTATTCGCTCTGGTGTGTCAACAGGGGGATTCTTGATCCCTTTTCTGCAGATTTAGTCTCTGTTTTAGAATTCCTCCAGTCTCGGTTGGATGCCGGTCTAGCGGCTTCAACTGTTCGAGGATATTCTACAGCTATTTCTGCGTTTCACATTCCTGTTGACGGTGCTGTCTTGGGGCAGCCACCTCTTGTGCAGCGTTTTTTAGCAGACGTGGACAGAATCCGTCCGGTTGTACGGCGGATTAGTCCCCCGTGGGACTTGCCATTCGTTCTTGATTGGCTGTCCGGTCCACTATTTCACAATCTGTCGGCTCTTTCACTCCAGCTGTTAACGTGGAAGACGGCTTTTCTTGTGGCGGTAACTTCAGGCAGGCGGGTAGGAGATATTCACGCAATGTCGGCCGATCCCGCGCTCACTGTTTTTCACCAAGACAGAGTTAGCATACGGCTTCCTGATACTTACCGCCCTAAGAAGGATAGTGCCTTTCATATGACAGCGCCTATTGAGCTCCTGGCTTTCACTCAGCCTCCCCTGCCCGGTACACCTCTACGACGTGCTCACGTCTTAGATATCCGTAAGACCCTTATGGCTTATATCAAGCAGACAAGGGGTATCCGTAAGGATAACCAATTGTTTTGTTGTTATGGCGGGGTCAAGGCTGGTCTTCCGGCGACCAAGCAAACCATATCTAGGTGGCTTGTCTCTGCCATACATATGAGCTATACTCACACAGGTCGTGTACCGCCTGCAGGTTTGAAAGCTCATTCGGTTAGAGCATTGCTACATCGAAAGCTTACGCTGCAGCCTTGCCCATTGAGGAGATCTGCTCTGCGGCTATTTGGAGCCGACCGAGTACGTTCATCCGTCATTACCAACTTGACAGACTCTCCAGTGAGCGTGCTTGGTTCGGTCAGTCAGTTCTCTCCAGTGGGCATGGTTCCACCTCTCTAGCTGATTGAGCTTTCGAGGATTTTATGACGAGAACCATTATCTGCCGTTTTTCACTGGTGTTGGGTTTTAAACAACTTTTACCTATTCCCTTGGTGACGGGTTTTATATGGTGATGGTTTTTATTCCCATGTCTTTTGCATTACTCCGTTCTGCTCTGGACTTATTTGCCTTGGAAACTTTTGCTTACTAGACGAATGGCATTTTGTTTCTTGTGGCTTCTTGTGGGATTCCCTTATCTTCGCTTCTGATTGATTACGGGAGGGAGGGAGGGTTTATCTCGACTGTTTACATTAGCGAGGTTTCGCATTGTGATTGTAATGTGTTCGACCCTGACCCTGGCTCATGCCCCCGCCTGATTGGCTATGGTGGACACGTGACCGGGTAAGTGTGCTGTTTTCTGCTATTTTTAGCTTGGGAAATTCCACTTCTTGTCGGGGGTGTTTTATGCGGACAGAATGCCACTCCTTAGCTCCGTCTTTAGGAGTCTGTCTTATGCTTATAAGTACCCCATGGAGGAATATATAAAAAAGAATCGAACTAACCTGTAGAGGTTCCAGATTCTTTGAATATATTCCTCCTTGGGGTACGCCCGCCACCTCCCCACATTCTGTCTGACTTCGTTCAGCATGGAAAGTGAGGTACGAGGTTATGGTCTAGAGTTACCTGCTCTTGGCTGTAGGGGGCCGGAGGGCCCTGTAAGGGTGGTCTCACAAGACAAAACGTAGTTTTTGTTTTGTAAATATTTTTTATTCAAATATTGTTACAACTGTCGTAGGGATTTTAAATGAACATTTAAATGCTTATAAGTACCCCAAGGAGGAATATATTCAAAGAATCTGAAACCTCTACAGGTTAGTTCGAATTTCAAGGAAGATGTTTACAGGTTCAAGGAGCTGAACTATCATTAGCCTTTTTTTTTTTTTTTGAAAAAAACCCACAATTTTATCTGTGTTTATAGTGTTTTTATATGTAACAATTAAAAATAAGGTACTTGGCAAAAGGAGATTATATATTCTTCTTTGAAGTACAAAGGATCAGAGTGGAAACTTAAAAAGTAAATTATTCTGTGTATTGCAAAGATGTTGCATATGGTTTAGAAATAACATTGCTTGAAAATGTGTTTTAAGAACTATACTCAGTCTTGGTCTTGGTTTCAGGAAACCGGGATATAGTTGGTTGGGGCTTCAATGGATGTGCAAGTTATGTTGACAGGCCAGAGTTTCCTTGCCCAGCGATTCGATTCAAAGAGAACTCAGCTGATGTTATGACTCTTCGTGAAAAAGAAAAGGGAGACTGGAGTAAACTTACCCTGGAGGAAAAAAAGGCCTGTGAGTAACAAGTGTGAACTTTGAGCATTTTGCAGAGGCTGTCTCTTGATTGATAAAGTAAATTTGTTTTATGTTTATTGCAAAATCTATAACCCATTAAAATAATAACATTGCAAATAATGTACCACTCAGCCACAGCCTGGTTGAGTCTCCCCCAGGATCCTCCATTCCTATATGATCCTGGCTTGCCCCATTTGTCTACCCCTCTGACCATGAAATCCAAGTTTGTCCTGGAGGAATCCTTGTCGGCATCTCTGAAACCTTTTGGAGATTTGCTGAAAGGTCTAGAAGATTGAATTTCAGCACTATCTCAAGAAAGAATCGACATTCATGATCTCTCTTATCCTTAATAAGAGAGCGATGTTGGAGCCTAAGACACAGACCACACCTCAGCTGAGGTCACCCTGAGATGCAAGGCATGGACCACAACTTTGGAATGCACATGCATTGATAGTTTGTTAAGTGCTCATCAAGTAGAAGTCATGGACCGCACGGTACTCATAGTAAGTAGATCAGCTGATCCTGTTGAAGGTCATCTTAGCAGGGAAAATCGGATTGGGGATAACAGTATGGACACAGACTGCAATGGCTGTATGGACTAAAGTAAAGCAAGCCCTACATTCCAAGATACAACTATTTATATGCGGAGTATTTTACAGACACTTCAGAGGATCCAGATTTTATGTCTTCAGCACCAGAGTTAGGTCATCCTTCAAGTCTAAAAATCACTCAAGTATCAGACAATTTTGGCCATTCATCTTTTCTTCAGGTGGTTGGGTAGCCTAGTGGTTTAAAGCATTTGCTCGTCACGCTGGGTTCGATTCCCCACTTTGGCACAATGTGTGAAGCCCATTCCTGATGTCCCCGACCGTGATATTGCTAAAGTGGCGTAAAACCCAACTCACTGACTCTTCCCTTCAGGGAAAAGAATCTTATTCTGTATTTGACCCTCCTAGGGATTTACAAGATGTGCAAATGTGCGCCCAGTACGCCCAAATGTAGAAAATGGACGCAGAAAAGAAAATCACTGCGTCCAGAATGACATACAATATTATTCGACCCGTGACCGTCCCGGTTAGAATATTGATCTTCAGTAACCCCATGCTTGTCGTATGTGGTGACTAACGGGATCGGGTGGTCAGGCTCGCTGACTTGGTTGACACGTCATTGGTTCCCAATTGCGCAGATCGATGCTCATGCTGTTGATCACTGGATTGTCTGGTCCAGACTCGATTATTTACAGACCGCCGCCATATAGCTGGAATATTGCTGAGTGGGGCATAAAACTAAACTCACTCACTCACCTACATTAATATTTTCTGTACCCACAAGACATCTATGACTTTGCTAAGTTTTTGGTTGTTTCTTTCAGAGCAGTTACGCACATCATTTCATCCATCAGTCCACATGATCAATGATTTTCCAGGCTCTAAAGAAATTATCAAAACATATAGTTCTCTACACCATTACTTCACAGGACCCTCATATTGCCTGCAAGGACTCTTAAAACTATTAACTTGATGTTTATGAGTCGAGGTAAAGCAGTTTCAGCATTGGAGAGTCAGACCTGGAACAGCCAATGACCCCTTTAAAGTGTGGATTTTTCCACTGCATCTAAGGAAAGATCTCCATCTTTTGCATGGCACTGTAGAAGGATATTGCTTACCTTTGGCATCTGATCTCACTAAGCATTCATTTTAAGAAGGATAATCTTTTGAACTAGAGGATAAGGCATAACTATGAAATGGGATTTAACAGTGCTATTGTCAGGATTATTGCATCACAGATTTGAACCTGGATGGAGGAAGCATTCTTATCATATCTTTCCTGGAAAACTGCTCTCCTTGTGACGTAATGCTATTATTGTTTCCCCCAGGATTATGAAAGGGCAGGGTAGACTCAGAGAAAAAAGGGCACTTTAATATTCAAAAGGGCATTCAGCAAACAAGAAAGGCACAACAATTAAGGGTTCAGTAATTTACTGTGGCTGACATCATTTGGGTCTGTTTGGCATGCTTTGATGCAAGTTCATAAAATTATTCGTTCATATTCTCCTCTTCTTTCGTGCCAAGAACTTGGGCACACACTTCCTCAAGTCAATGTCAGTTGAAGACTTAGCATTCATGCTGACCATAAGTAGCTTGGTGCACAGCATCATCCTTTTCAAGTTTGAATGCTTCCTGGTGCATTTGAGAGTTCTCATGCAAAGTAATTTTGTCCAGTCTTACAGTTTGACATCCAACTTGTGTCCAAACCATGGGTCCATTTCATCCTTTCATATTCCACTTAGTGCAAAGAGAACAAAACATCATGCAGCTTTTTTCACCCTCCTCGTTTGCTTCCTCAACGTATTTTAGCCAGGGGCGACCTTGTTTCTACAAGCTTGTGACCGGCATCTTTCTTCTTCTGAGTTGTTTGAGGAGCTGGGTCACTGGATGACAACCACTTGTCAATGTCATAGCAAACAAGTTCTGAATCTTCTACATCGGGTCTGAAATACACATACAAGTCAGTTTTATTTCCGGACAAAATTTATTGTATTTTGTAATTTGGTAATAAGAAAACATCCTTTGAATATTAAGAAAATAAGAATAGTAAATATACCTTGTACTAATGAAAGTACTTTTTCACACACAGAAAAAACAGTTAAAACTTTTATTACATTTCAGTTGAGGATAAATTAGGGTAAAATATCAGATAAATATACACAGAAGTTTGGAACAATTATGTTTCATTTTGAAAATCTTTAAAGACTAGATATGGAGACAGGTAAAGTTTGTCTTTGTTCATTGCAGACAACTTGTCCACCACAAATTCTACTAACTTCAAATTAAGTATATATAGAAAAATTAATTTAATATTTCTACCGTTATTTTAGAATATGAAAAACTACATGTATGCAGTGCAAAAAATAAACTTAGATACGTTCTGAAATAGACATGTTTGATGTGGCTTCGATTCCTGGGTCTATTTCGTGTGGAATTATTACTTCGGTACTTCGTACATTTACAAAGAGTAAATAAAATTTCAACAGATATACCCAGTGCAAATATTAACTATAGAAAAGGAGAGGGTTTTGTGTATATCTAGAAAATCGAAATGAAAAATACGTGCTTCCGAAAGATTTCTTGCAGAGCGAGGTCGACTGAACAAGGAGAAATTAAAAGTTAAAAAAACCATATTAGAATCTATTCACAATCGTAATATTAGAGAGGATAATAATCACCGGTGTGTTTTAAATACCTGAGACAAGCATTGGAAGGGAAAAGAAAAAACTTCGGAATAATCTGAAGTGATCATGTCCGATATGGCTTCCCTTTGTTTCATTCGTTTTTATTTTCTCCTCACAAAAAGACTAAAATAAGATATGGACATAAAGTAGTTACAGCAAAGATTCTTAAACATAACAAAGACAGAATGGGCATGTTTTATTAGCTATAAAGAGATCACATGAACCTAGATTATTGCTGGAAATGTTTTCTAATTTTGCCGCTATCGGTTCAAAACGGCGGAAGTCATTGTCAAGTCGTACCTGTTTGGCGCGAAGAAATCCAGGAGTCGACGACACTTCCTTGCTTCAGCCTTCACAGCTTCTTCTCTTTTCCTCTTTGTTCTTTCTTTGGTTGGTATTGTGAATCAGAATGTAAATGAACAAAGCCGAAATCGCCATGACTTAAATAGGTAGTTTTATTGCACAACAAAAACATCCGGGAAGGGAGCTAACTCCTGCCTTTGTTAAAATCCGGAAAATATTGGATTTTTCAAAGGGCAGATAATGCAGTGATTCAAAAGGGCACAGTGCTAAATGAAAAGGGCAGGGCGCTAAATAAAAAGGGCAGGGCGCTGAATAAAAAGGGCAGGGCGCTGCGCCCTGCCAAATATGCCTGGGGGAAACACTAGCTATGGCTTCAACGACTTCAGAACTACATTCCTTGGACGTATGCTTCTGTTGCATTTTTGTATAGAGTGCCATTTTGAGCACTGCCAGAGGTCCTCGCCAAGAATCAATGGCTATTAATGGGACTTTGATGTGCATTCACTATACCAGCTTTGGCTCCCACTGTGGATCACGACCTACTGAACAGAGTTCTATGTCCAGTAAGAGCTCTAAAATGGTACTTGCATAGGACTGACACGTTTCATCGTGTTCACTGCTCTCTCTGGATATCTTGTCAAGGACAATCTGAGAAATATATTTCCAAGAACACCTTGGATAAAGAAAACTATAAAGCTGACTTACACTTTGGCAGAAAATCAGCCACCAACTGATGGATCCTACGTCCACACAAAATTAGAGCCATTGCCTCGTCCCTTGCATCAATGAAAACTGTCACTAGAACAGATCATGTTAGCTTGCCAGTGGGTGTCTTCAAACACTTTTACATCATTCTATCTAAGGAATGTCACCCAGGACCTTCAGAGTTTTCATGAAATAGGGTCTCTGGTTGTGGCCTAGATTCTCCTTACTGCAGAGCTAGAAAAAGTGCCCAATAAAGAGCATGATTTCACATACTTTGACCTTAAATATGGATTGTCATCTGAGGGTGAGTTATCTATTTATAGTCTGTTTGCAGTGAAAACGTGCCGATGAATTTCACTTTAAACAAAAAAGTAAATCGGATAAAGTGAAATTTAGATGGCAAATCGTCATAATTTTACTTTGCCAATTGAATATATAAAACTTTTTCCTTATCCTGACTCATGCTTATTGCTTGTCTCCTTCCTCTTGCGAACGTTAGTGGAACACTTGTATCTTCTATTGAAGCTCCCTTCAATAAAAAACAGACGTAAAATCACTACTCACCATGAGTTATCTGTCTGGCCGTTTTGGCGGGAAAAGTGGCGCCACCGCTCCCACATGCTTCACTCTCTCCTTCTTCGCCCTAGTGGATGGTTGGGAGAGTGCCTGTGTCTTCTATACGGCACTATATCCTTTTATTTATTAGTTATTACCCTATACGTTACCTTTATAGGGGTTTAGGGAGTATCCTTCAACAATA